CTTAATGACAAAGGCAGACGCATTCTATTTCACCCAGTCATGATCTCAAGCTTTACAAGCTTGATACCCTAATATGATTGAGTGGAGATAAGAAAGAAGAAGAAGAAGATCTTCTTTCTTATCTCCACTCAATCATATTAGGATATCAAGTTGTGACCCTTGATGCTCAGTGGCTACTCAGTGGCAGGCCGACTTAGCTCCAAAAGAAATGGCCGCTTCTGACATGAGGAACAGACGCCATGTACAGCCACTCCTAACATGGAGTATAAACTCTGCTCATCCTGTATCCCTGGAGACCTTACAGGGTACTATCAGCCAGGCCAGCTGAACCCAGATTTTTTAGTGATCTTGTTACTGCTCCCCCTCCTCTTTTTTCATCCGGGCTTGGGACCGGCAAAGGCGTATTTTATATAATTATACAATGGAATAATTTTAAAAAAGACTGTATGTCCAGCAGTTTCTCTACTACAAACTGGTGATAAAGGTGAATGTACTACTTCCACCGAAGTATTTAAATAAAACTATGTTCCCTCTACAAGCCTCCACATGTGTAAACTCCACTTACTTGAGCTTCAGTTCTTTAGTAAGTTCATACTGAGCCATCTGGAGTTCTTCTCTCTGTCTGGTGTACTCATCATTCTCATCCTGGATCTCTGCCTTCACCACCTGCAGCTTGGAGAACAACTGGACACACACTGTAACATTGTACTACTGCTTCTATCTCAAGTACATGTGACTGCCTATACTGTAAGTACACCACCTGCAGCTTGGAGAACAACTGGACACACACTGTAACATTGTACTACTGCTTCTATCTCAAGTACATGTGACTGCCTATACTGTAAGTACACCACCTGCAGCTTGGAGAACAACTGGACACACACTGTAACATTGTACTACTGCTTCTATCTCAAGTACATGTGACTGCCTATACTGTAAGTACACCACCTGCAGCTTGGAGAACAACTGGACACACACTGTAACATTGTACTACTGCTTCTATCTCAAGTACATGTGACTGCCTATACTGTAAGTACACCACCTGCAGCTTGGAGAACAACTGGACACACACTGTAACATTGTACTACTGCTTCTATCTCAAGTACATGTGACTGCCTATACTGTAAGTACACCACCTGCAGCTTGGAGAACAACTGGACACACACTGTAACATTGTACTACTGCTTCTATCTCAAGTACATGTGACTGCCTATACTGTAAGTACACCACCTGCAGCTTGGAGAACAACTGGACACACACTGTAACATTGTACTACTGCTTCTATCTCAAGTACATGTGACTGCCTATACTGTAAGTACACCACCTGCAGCTTGGAGAACAACTGGACACACACTGTAACATTGTACTACTGCTTCTATCTCAAGTACATGTGACTGCCTATACTGTAAGTACACCACCTGCAGCTTGGAGAACAACTGGACACACACTGTAACATTGTACTACTGCTTCTATCTCAAGTACATGTGACTGCCTATACTGTAAGTACACCACCTGCAGCTTGGAGAACAACTGGACACACACTGTAACATTGTACTAAATGGTACGCTATTGCTTTGTGTTAATTTATACCTAACTTGTCCTTATTGTTTGCGGAAGAACATTGCTCAATGCAAATATTTATATGTAATTCTACTGTCCTATAAGCTTATGTCCATAGTTTTCTTGAAAACCATTTCTGAGATTCCATCCTTCAGTGCTGTGTATATAAGCAGAATGATCCAATACAGTATTAGAGATCTGAGAAATGGTCTGGTAGATTAAATTGGAGAAACCGCTGGGAGGGTTCACCACTGATAAACCAAGTCCTCCCAATATATTTTTTCATCGCAGTAAGGACAGTAGAAGTTTGTATTGTGTATAAAAAAAACATTCGTGCTTTTAAATCCTTTAATTTTATATTGTACTACTGCTTCTATCTCAAATACATGTGACTACCTATACTATAAAAAATAGTACAAATGTGATATTGTACTGGGATAAGGTGCATAAATTATGAAAATGGCATCTCCCTATCGTGGAACTGAAAGTTTCTAATGACTTGCGCCATCATCGGAATAAATAATCAACTATTCTAAAACAAGGTAATAAGACCAAATCCAAATAAATAAATAGTGTGTGACGTTTCGGTAACAGCGTTGTTACCATCTTCAGACAAGGATTAGTTCTTATTACCTTGTTTTATAATCTATAATCCAAATTGTGCCTTATCAATCAACTATTCTCATTGATTTTTAATTACTCTAGAGTTGGCCAAATACCCATTCTTGATTAATCAATGCAACTTTCAGTGGCACGATGCCTTTTCATAATAATACCTATACTGTAAGGTCACCACCTGCAGCTTGGAGATAACTGGAGACACAATGTAACAGTCAACTACTGATTACAATGGGGCAAAAAGACTTGTGCTCTGGTGAACCAAGGCAATCACATGGGAAGTCTGCTGGGAGGTCATGGAAGGTCTACCAGAGGGGGAGACAGCATGTTAGACCATTCAGGTTGACAATGCGATGATACCATCAAAGACTGTCAGGAGATTGGGTAAAATTAAATTTGAATTCAAAATTATAATTTAGTAACAATTCATCCTTTAACACAATTTATTTTACTAAGAAAAAGGCATCTCCCTATTGTGGAACTGAAAGTTGCTGATGGCTTGCGCCATCTATCCAAAAGATCCAAAAGGCATGAAAAATGGCAAAAGATTGCCAAAAGATGGCACAAGCCATCAGCAAATTTCAGTTACACAATAAAGAGATGCCTTTTATTTAATTTATCCACCTTATCCCAGTACAATTTCACATTGGTACTATTTTTTCAAATTTATGTCTTTAACAAAAAAAAAAAAAAACGACTCATTTGTCAAGATGAAAATAGAAAATATAGCAGAGTGTTAAGAGTGAATGAGTTGTAACCTTCTTCAGTTTCTTGGTCTTGGACTCAGCCTCCTGCTGCAGTGAGGAGTAGGTTTCCTTGATCTCCAGGGTCTCCTCTTCCTGGGACTCCAACATCTGGACCATCTCTCTCTGCTTCCTCTGTACACACCACTGGGTGTTGGTCCGTGCTGCTCCAACTCACTCACATTCAATATTCTTTACATTGATAAGGCACAATTTGGATTATAGATTATAAACACAAGGTAATAAGACCTAATTCAAATATATAAATAGTGTGTGGCGTTTCAGTAACAACGTTGTTACCGAAACATCACACACTATTTATTTATTTGGATTTGGTCTTATTACCTTGTGTTTATTCTTTACATTGAAGAATACCTCAATATATATTTATATAAAAAGACAAAGGTCGCCTCTACCGTCAAAATAGACGTCAAAGCCAGACACCATCTATTGACCGTCACCGCAAACTAGTGGCTTCATGCCGGTGACAAAGCCACAACACCAGCTTTGACAAACTGAAAAGTGTCCACCTAAAGACCATGGTTTCAGGCTAATGGCCCTCGTCAGCCTTCAGTTTGCCAAAGCTGGTGTTGTGGCTTTGTCACTGACCTGAGGCCTCTAGTTTGCGGCGACGATCAATAGATGGCTTCTAGTTTTGACATTATTTTGATGGACGGGCGACCTTTGTCTTTTTATATACATATCCTCCAGGCAAGATTTCCATATACAGTTAAACCTGTCTATAGCGCCCCCTCTTGGGACTCACCAAAATAGGGTGCTATAGAGAGGGGGTGCTATAGACAGGTCACTTTTAATGTAAATCACATCGTACTACGTACAGTTAAACCTGTCTATAGTGCCCCCTCTTGGGACTCACCAAATTAGGGTGCTATAGAGAGGGGGCGCTATTTAGAGGGGGCTCTATAGACATTTTAACTGTATATGTATATATGTGCAGTAGACCAAGCCAGAGGATCAGAAACATTTTGACTTGTATTAGATGTACTAAACAGGACCTTTGAGAGAGGCCACTGATTATCATAAACAGCTGGAGGAGCATGAACTCATGGCATTGGTTTAATCTTTACACAAGGAGATAAGAAACAACAATTCTAATAAGAGGTAGAGAGAGTCTTACCTTCTGTTCAGCCAGCTCCTGCCTCCGTAGCTCCAGAGCCCGCTGTTGCTCATTGGTGTGGTCCAGGATGTTCTTTCCTCCTGTCAGCAGTTTGCTCTCCATTGCCTGCACATACAACCTGTGTTACTCCACCAGTCCCGCCAAGCCTGGATGGAAGAGCAGTAACAAGTTCTCTGTAAAACCTGGACTCAGCTGGCCATGCTAATAGTACCCTGTAGGGCTCCAGGGATACAGGTGAGTCTGTACTCCATGTTAGGATCGGTCCCAAGCCTGCATCCAGGGAGAGCAGTAACAAGCTCGCTAAAACACCTGAGGTGAACTGACCTGAAATCCTTACAACAGCCCACAAACGAATCATCATTGCCAAATTCTTATACAGAATTTTGCATCATTGTTTTGTGAAATTGTTTGCCATCCACACTGACAAGACTTACCTTGATCTTGTTGGCCAGATGGTCCCTGGCTTCCTGCTCCTTACTGAGCTCTTTGTGCCGGCTCGCCATCTCATTTAGGAGCTTCTCTTTCTCCTGCAGCAACACCACTGTAGTATGTTCCTCTACACTTGGCTTACAGTCACATATCCCACCAGTTCAGTGTTCAGTATGGTAAGAAGGCTTTCTAGCTGTGAGAGAACCCATTGGATGTACAAGGACTACTGGTTAGATCAATTTTTTTCTTTTTTAAATTATTTATTACTAGAAGATAGAAGAATGACCCGGCTTCGCCCGAGAAATCCCCCGAGTGAAGTATCCTTCATACTGAAAGTACATCAATAATAAATAGTAGAAGTGCCATAAAATAGCAATACAAAAGAAACACATAAACTACAGGAAAAAAGTGTGTAATGGCAAATTTTGATTTAAATATTTTTTGCAATCCATTTAGTTGTTTCAAAATTAATAATATAAATGAGTTTTAAAAATTGTAAAAAAAAAAAAAAATGCATTGGCCGGGAATCGAACCCAGGCCGCCCGCGTGGCAGGCGAGCATTCTACCACTGAACCACCGATGGTTATAAGAAATGGCCATATTTGGGTATTTATTCCATTCACAAAAGCAAACGGTGACAGAATTGTTGATTGATTGTTGATTATGACTCTGATACTTGTATATTTATTATTATCTCTAGTAAACATGTACATGGCCTATGATAATCATGGTGGGTAGAAGTTGGTGACGGCTTTTACTGTAAGTGCAACACATAGTCAAACTGCTTTTAAAATTTGTAGACATGTAGTACACTTATAGTAAAAGTAGTCGCCTACTTCTACCCACCATGATAATCAGTTCGACTTTGCACTTACAAATATGCCAGAGCCCCGTTTGGTTACTTGCACTCGCTTGTGGGGTTGGACTTTTCGAAAAATTGGGAGCCATTGAAGCATTTTTTTTTTTTTGTAATTAGAAAAAAAAAGGCCCAATACAGGATTCGATCCAGGGTCGTAGCGAACCAACGATTTAAACCATCCTTCCACCGACCCCTAAATTCTAGTGTGAATGTAAGGAAGGTACCTCGGCCAGTAGAGACTGGTCATTCATGATACGGGTCCTCTCCTCCTGGAGCCTGTTCTGCTCCTGCAGGAATTCTTCCTCCGGCTCCTCCTCCGTGGCAGACTCTGTAGCCGTGGAGTCTCCTCCTTCCTCCGACTTGGTCTTCTTTCTTCTCTTCTTGGACTTGGTGGCCAGTTGGCCTTTCAACCTGCACATTGGTGTTACATTGATTGGTGAGATAAGAAAGAAGAAGACATTGATTGGGTTATTGACACTTTACAGCTGTAGTTCTACTAATGTACACTAACTTCAATATGAGAATTCAATACTATTATAGATGTTAAAAATAAAAAAAGGCATATCCTGACCAGGAGCACATGTGCTCTCAGAAGGCAGAGCGCCATCTGGTGGAACAGAAATCAACTATCCATTGATTTAACCTGTTCCCTGATACTTAGCCAACCTATTTTCTTGATAAATCAAGAAAAGCCCTCCACGAACGCGTTTCGCACTGGTGTGGAGTAGGCTGTACCACTGCGACTAAAAAAATTTTTGGGTCCAGAGGCTTCTTGAGAAACCAAGAAATGGGTATTTAAGGCCAAACTTGTGTGAATACGCTTTACACATGAAAAAAACAATAGAAAAAAAAGTATTATAGATGTGTACAATTTTTTTTTTTTTTAAATAAAACAATAAGGGTTCTTCAGAACGAAAAATCGAAATTTATTCCAAGGAGAAATAACGATTATTTCTATCCTTAGGGATGAAGTATGAAAGGATGAATTGTGAAGAGTAATGATAAACAGTTATTTCTCCTTAAAATAAATTACAATTTTTCATTCAAAAGAAACATTTGCGGTATAATTGTCAAACATTATTCTACAATATTATATAATTTTAAAAAAAATCTTAACTCCGTCTTTGCCGGTCCCAAGCCCGAATGAAAAAGGAGGAGGGGGAGCAGTAACAGGCTCACTAAAAAACCTGAGCTCAGCTGGCGCCGCTGATAGTACCCTGTAAGGACTCCAGGGATACAAGATGAGCAGCGTTTGTACTCCATGTTAGGAGCGGCTGTACATGACGTCTGTTCCTCATGTCAGAGGCGGCCATTTCTTTTGGAGCTAAGTCGGCCTGCCACTGAGTAGTGCTCCCAGTCTTAATGACAAAGGCATTCTACTTCACCCAGTCATGATGGTTTCAAGCTTTACAAGCTTGATAGCCTAATATGATTGAGTGGAGATAAGAATGAAGAAAAAGAATCATACGCTTCTTAGATAGTTTTGAATTTCCATAAATAAACAAACTTCAATATGAACCGTAGAGGTTCGATACCTTTCAATCTCTAGTTGGAACTCTCTGAGGAGAGCATCCTTTGGATCCTCATTGACTCTGGGCTTGTTCTTGATCTTCTTGGCACGGCTGGCATACCTACAGCAAGGAGACATTATTGGCTGTGCTGTGAGATAAGATGGCTGACCTACCTGAGAGTGATGACAGTCTCCTCGTAGTTGTAGCTGGCTGGTCCAATGTTGGCCACCATCACTGTCTTGGAGTTCCCTCCCAGGGAGTCTGCAAATCCACCTTTAGCTCATCCACTATACAACCCTTAATGATTCAATTACACTAGAACCTCAATGAGAGGACAGTCACGCTAGAGAACACCTCTCTATAAAAGACAGTTTTTATTTACAAAATTACCATTTTTACTATAATAAAAGAAAATAAGACCTAATCTATATGTAGAGAAGAGCTTCAATCCTGAACTCTTTAAAATAGAATCTTCAAGTGATGGCTTACCATCAACATTGATATTTACTTTGGAATTCATTTTCTTCAGCTCATAGGAAGAATAACTTCTTAGGTCCATTGAAGTCTATCAAAAATGATAAAGCACAATTTGGATTACAGATTATAATAAAAGAAAATAAGACCTAATCCATGGATTAGGTGGATTAGGTCTATTTTATTGTATTATAATCTGTAATCCAAATTGTGCCTTATCATGACTATTTTTACTATTTAGCAACTCTCCAGTAAGAGGACACCTCTCTCTAAAGGACACTTTGGCTCTGTTATTAGGTGTTGTCCTTTACAGGGAGGTAGTTCAACTGTAATTAATCCCAGTATCTCAAACTAATTATATTATTATTACCATGTACTCATGTTAGAGTCGGCAGCAAAGGCTTCCATAGTAGAGTAATTCTTCCTGGAATGAACTTATACGATAATAACAAGGCGAAGGAAGACGAGTATCTTTATTGGTGCATAAGAGCGAGCTTTCGGGCAAAAGCCCTTCGACTGGCAAAATATAACGACACTATGAAGGACATCGATGGCTGTAGAGAATATATACACATATTAATTTACATAAATATAGAAAAAAGCATGCAAATGGGCAATTTAACTATTTGTAACAATGAGAGGTAAAAAATAAAAATGGATAAAAATGAAATAGAGATATCCTATAGGGCAATAGAAGAGATGCCCGAACATCAGCTGAAGGAAAGAAATATCAATGAGGCACAATATATGGCTGCAATGGGACATCAGGTATACAAAAGAGAAATTTATACATAAAGGCCAGGAGAGCTTGACATGCCCCAGGGAGGTCAATATTTTACAGTTAAATACAAGGGGGAGGTTTAAATAAAGGACAGGAGAGGATGATAGGCTTCTGGAAGTTCTATTTTTCTATTGATGCTATTTAGTTTGTGGGATACTATTGATTCTAAAATGAGTCTTTGGTGTAAGATATGTATGTGGCTGTAATGTATGGTGGGGTTGTTGATGTTGAACGTGTGGCCCGTGGTCTGCATATGTTGGTAAATGAGGGACCTGGTATCTTGACGGGAAATATTGCGGGAATGTTCGGTCATCCTGATGGATACAGATCTACCCGTCTCACCGACGTAAGTGGCAGGGCACTGTTCGCATGAGACGGAGTAGACTGCACCCACAGAACGAAGGGGGGCAGGAGGAGCTGAGGACTTAGTATGAGGGTGACGGAGGGATGAAAGAAGGTTCGGGGAGTTTTTATATATGGTACGGATGCCATAGGATTTGAGTTTTCTGGCTATATCAACAGAGGAGGGGGAGTAAGGGAGAAAACACAATGATCTGTATGTCATAGAAGGATTGGAGGTTGCAGGTGTGTAAGTATATTTGTTAATGAACCAGAGTGGAAATGAAGCCATGGAGAGCTGGGTTATAATGCGATTTCTTTCTATTATTTTAAAGATGTCTATGGAACAATGGGTGGATATTCTTTTTGTAAGAGTTCTAACAATATTGATTTTATGGGAGGTGGGGCAGTGAGAATTGTAATGAGTGTAGCAGGGGGGGCATTGTTTTTTATGATAGACAGTAGTGTGAAATGAGGACGGGGTGCGGATAATTAAGATGTCTAGGAATGGGAGAACATGGTTAGTTTCAGTTTCCAGAGTGAAGGAAATATCTTGGTTGTAATTATTAAGGGTTGATAAAATGAAGCTCTCCTGACCTTTTTTGCATACACAGAAGACATCATCAATGTACCTGCGCCAGAACTGGATATCTGTTGGGAGGGTATGAGTAATCCAATTATCTATTCTAGTCATGACAATTTCGGCAATAATGGTGGATAGAGGGCTGCCCATTGGGGAGCCCCTGAACTGTCTGTAATGGTGCTGTAGGAATGAGAATGTGTTCATGCTTAAGCATGTTTTGGTAAGTTGGACTATGGTTGAGGAAGTGTGGGAATCGACATTTTGAGATTGAAGGAAATGAGTCAAGCTATCTGTGATGAGCTGATGAGGAAGACAGAGGTAGAGGGAGGTGACGTCGAAGGAGCACATAGTGTAGGCGGGGTCTGGTTTAAGAGCTGTTAATTCATTAATGAAGTGTGGGGTGCTGTTAATAGAAAGGGTATTATTATAATTGGTTAATAGAGGGGAGAGGAAGCTGGAAAGATATTTAGCCAGAGGGTAAGCGGGCGATAATCGAAGCATATCATAAAGATCACCACCGATATCAAATCCCAAGAAAAAATTATTCTCGACAGACACCATAAGAAACTTCTCTTTTGGAAAAAGAAATATGCTTTACCCTACACCTTCTACAGTGACCTTCGCCCAAGATCTTCAACAGTGATTAACCTGTCGGACCACCCTCTGACGCCATCGGAGACCTCACTCCTTGAGAAGGGACTGAAATACTGCATCCCCTCCAAGCCCAATCCACCAGTGATCATCAGCGCCATTGAATCATCCATCAAGTCCTTCAATCTGCAAGAGAAGTTTTCCATCAGATCTATGGTAGCTAAAAATTTATCTAGGCCCTTTCTCCCTCCCCCTAACCATCTTGAAAACACCAATACACTTAAAAAACTCAAACTCCGTAAATCAATAGTTATTACTAGGTCAGATAAAGGTGCTAACACAGTTATATTAAATCAGGAAAGTTACATTTCAAAAATGCACAATTTACTTAGCGATAACTCCACTTTCTTACCCATCACAGACCAAACCAGCCTCTCTGTCGTTA